CTCAAAAGATCCACTTTACTACTTGTTACGATCCGTCCACTTGCAGGATAAAATCGACAACCATTGGAGTGTATGCGATCGTCGCCACCCCCGCTAGTCTTGGCCGTGTGCATCTGATCGTGCGTTGATTGTACGCAGGGAGAAATACGTGGAGTAGCTATTAGTTGACCACGTGGAGGGTCCAATTTGCGAGGTCAACACTCACTATTCCTACTTTTGCTTGTAATTCATTAATCAAATCATTAGTAATGATTTTACATTGTACATGTTAATCCATGTATTATTGTCCAATCCACCATCATTTGTGCCAATCTGTGCGTCTGTAATTTTGGTGTATGTGTAAGTATTAATCAACTGAGATTCAAGTCCGTACGCGTTTGCATTAATTCACGGTGTTACACCAATATATATTTTTTTAATTGGTTTGTGATTTGGGTTCTAACTTTTTTACATTATTAATCTTTTTGTTACTTCATCAATGAATTCAAGTCATTTTACGTGTTTTTAAGGATTATTTGATATTACAACCATACTTATTGTACACCATGTACAGCCCTCTCACACATGAGAGGGGCCCATCATTGATAAAAAAAAATTGATGGGCCCCCCTCACACATGAGGGGGCTATACACCATGCTGTACAAGCATGGTGTACAACTACCATAATTGTTGATATTATCATTGTGATGCGAAATTTAATGTTTCATCATTTTTTATTTTATTTTTTTGTGTTTGGAAATAAAACATCAACTATTGAATTCAATGTTAATTATTGTTGCTCTCGAAAAAGCACAACTCTATAAGTCATATATGGCTCCTATAGAGCTTATCTTTCTTAATAATAATTCGTATTGTTCTTAAAATAGTACAACAGTATAATTAATGTTATTAAAGAATATTATGTGCTCCTAAGGAGCATAAATTATATTTTTCAATATTTCAAAAGAATATCGTTATATTGTTTTTGAATAAGCAATAGTAAAATACAAACGTATTCCTGAAGTAGCACATATTTCAAAGATTGTATTATTTTAAATTAGTATTTATTCTTGAAGAAAAACATGTAACATATGTCATGTTAATATTACCTACTTGATTAACTATTATGCGATGTTTAATCATATTCTTTAAAACCAACTATATTTTCTTTTTCTTTGTTATATATTTAATCAAATGTCGAACATCATAAAACCTGAGTTTGTTGTACTTAACATATTTGCCACACTATCAATTATAGGTAATCGATGCTGATATTCAGCTTGTCTCAAAAGGGTTGGGAGAGATAATAAAAGAGAGAAACAAAAAATCTCTTTATAATCGTGCATAACCACTTATCTTTCTTCGTCATCATTTTTATGATGGATTGAAAATCAAATACCTACTTGAAAAAGATCTACAAGTTCTTTTGAAAAAATTGACTAAAAGATTTGATTATTAGATGATTGCAGTACTCCTCAAAAACCCACTATGAGTGGATTCACTTTCATTTGCAAAACTTTAAAACTATTAGCGAGTAAAATTCTGAATTGTTCATAATATGTTCAAAATTGACCTTGTGTGTAGAAAAAGTCACTAATGAAGATATGTTGGAGAAAACATTTTCATCTTTCATGCCTCAAATGTGCATCAAACATCATTGAAGGCTTTGGAAGAGTATTATTTTATCAAATAATACAAAATTATATATTGATGATGCACTTTATTCTAATAAATTCAGAAGAAATTTGTTTCAATTTTAAAGATATCTGCTACAATGGATATCGCATTTAGACGATGCAAGAAAATAATATTGAATATCTTTATATATAACTTTTTTTGAATCTGCTCAGAAACAGATAAAATAAAAGCTTCAAACACTCTCACCTGACATATATTATACATTTATAAAAATGGTTGCATCAAATATTGTCACGAATAAAAAATTCGTTGACCAAAAATTTTTTATATTTGACATGATCAACTTAGATATCTATGAGCTATAATGATGCATTAAATAATAAACAACTTACATGAACATTATTTAAAGAACCAGAAGAGTCTTTACCTAATGATTATTCATATGTAACTTGTTTGCAAGGTACGTTAATAATTTGACATCCGACTACAAATATCAATATTGAATTTCCAACTTTTTGGAAAGGATTCTTGAAGATATACGTGGACCAATACACTCACTATGTGAATCATTTCGTTGTTTTATGGTGTTAAAAAAAAGGAATATTTATTTTATGGTGTTAATATATTCTTCTACTAGATGGTCTCATGTCTGCCAACTTTTCACTAAGAATATAGCTTTCCTAGACTACTTGCTCACGAGCTCAATTTTCTAATTATTCAATCAACATTATTCATCTTGATAATACTAGTGAATTTAGATCACATGTATTCGATGATTATCGTGTGTCAATTAGGATTATTAATAAATATTCAGTTACACATATCCATATACAAATGGTTTAGTGGAATCATTCATTAAAATGTCTAAAATTTATTACTAGACCACCACTTATGAAAACAAAACTCATTAGGTTCTATTTAGTGTCATGTCATATTACATGCTGTATCATTGGTTTGTATAAGACCAACTAACTGTTATCAACATTCGCCCTTTTAACTTGCATTTAGTCACGAACCTAATATTTCTTATAAATGGGTTGTGGTTATGCCATTGAAGTCCTTATTTCATCTCCCACAATGTACTAAAATGAGTCCTCAAGGAGGACTTAGAATTTATGTTGGTTCAATGCGCCATCTATCATTAGGTGTTTTAAATATTTAACATGTGATTTATTTACTCTACATTTTGTAGATTGTCACTTTGATAAAATGACTTTGCTGACTTTGCCAACTTTGCAAGGGAAAAAACTACATCATGAAAAATAAGGTAAAATTTTTTGAAATGAAACAACTCATCTCACTTTAATCCACGCAGTGATCAATGTGAGCAAAATGTTAAAAAAATATTCTTTTGCAAAGATTTACATTAATTGCCTGATATATTTGTTGACATAAGAAAAATAACAAAGTCATATTCCATCAAAAATAAAAAATTCAGCAAAAATTGATATCACTATAGAATAATTTGTTGTAACAAATTAATTTAAATATGCCAGAAGTGTAGTTGACCAGTTGGTTCGAATAACTCTATACCTTAAAAAAGAAAAGTACAAGAGAAAACCAACCAAAAATTTCAAAAGAAATAACATTAGAAAAGATTGATCAATTAAATATTTAAAAATATAGTTCCTGAATAACTATAAGTGTCAGAAAGCAATGATATTTCAATAAATTATACGTTATCTCATAAATTATGGTAACGAAATAATATTATTATAGATAATATTTTTTCCTTTAACATGACTCTTGATATTGTACAAATGAATTCCTGAACTATAGTCCGTTAAAGATTGTTAACATATGAATGATTGGTCAAAATGGAAAGAAACCTTACAGGCAAAATTGAATTCCATAGACAAACGAAAAAGTGTTTGACCTGTAGTCCAAACTTAAAATATAATCACCATATGATAGAATAGATTGTACCAAAGAGAAATGAAAATAATAAAATTAAAATATACTAAGTTGACTTACAGCTCAAGATTTCTCATAAAACCATGAATTAATTATGAGGAAATTTTCTTGCGTAATAGATACCATCATTTTTAAATTCTTAATTAGTTTGATTGTGTCATAAATGCTCTATATGCGCCTCATGAATGCAGTAACTGTCTATTTGTGTCTCTGAAGTACTTAAAAGTGCTAAGATACATGCCCGACAACAATTTTCTCAATTAAATTGCAAATATCACTATATGTATTGAAACAATCCGAATGCATGTAATATAAATCACCTTAGTGAATATTTGTTGAAGGTAGCCTAAAAAAAATGATGGTGTCTATCCATATGTTTTTCATTAAAAAAATATTTGATTTACAGTTGTGGCATTTTATGTTGATAATTTAAATTTAACTAGAACTCTTGAAAGGCTCAACTAGACTGCAGATTATTTGAAAAATGAATTTGAGATGAAAGACTTTGAAAAAGTTAAATTTTATCTTGAGTTGCAGATTGAACACTTCCCATAAAAGATTATTTATTCATCAATCTATATATACAAAAAAAGTTTTAAAACGTTTTTTATGGATAATGCACATCCATTGACATCACCTATAGTTGTTCGTTCATTTGATACGAGAAAAGATCCAATTCGTTCACTTGAAGATGGAAAAAATATTCTTGATCCTAAAGTATCATATTTAAGTGCAATTGGAGCACTAACTTATCTTGTATACTACACTCAATGCAATAGAGCTTTCCTGTATAGTACGACATACACTTTGTAAATGAAATTCATTGTTCAATTCAATCTTAATCACATTTCCTAGATGTCATTGTGCCTTTGTGATATTATTTTAGGAAGGGAGGTTTTCATGTACACATGAACTAAGGTACATTTTTTATATTTTAGTCATAGAAATTTATAACTGTGAAACCACATAGACTGATCCGAATATGGGATATACATAGAATTAAAATAAGCATATCCCGGATGAAATAATGTAAAATGCTCGTGGATAGATCAGCTTCATAACCTCATAGTTGATGAATGACCTAAAATAGCAGTAACGAAATGCAAAAAGAGGGAGTAATGCTTTCTGTAGAAAAGAATATATCTATAGAATGGAAGATATATATGTAACGCATCCAAGTTAAGTCAAATAATTGAGAGGAGATATTAATGTTTTAAACTAATTTGAATAACGAAGCAGCTTGTAGCAAGTTGGACAATTACAACGAACAATAGCAGCTGAATTTTAAACCAATTTGTACATGCAAAATATATTCTCCTTTCCACAAGTGAATACAAAATAGTCAATATATGCATTTTGTGTGTACATGGCTACTGTAAGGTAATCACGACACAATACAAGCACGAAAGAGTTAAATTAAATGATACCTAAAAAGGAAGAAATATAGAAAGAAGTCGAGACTCTGACAAAAGCAAATGGAGAAATCTTCGAATGATGAGAAATCACATAACAAATATCCAATAGCATGATGTATAATCATCTCAGAAAAATTGAAACAATTACCAAAAGTATGTTAGACCTCTTGCGACACCTTCAAAATCTATATCGAACAACATATGATGCTTGGAGAAGGAAAAAGTTTTTGTGTCGATGAGGCTTCTGCAACCATATGCCATGATGTTATTCTATATATCATAGAAACAAATTGGAAATGAACTGCAAAGAATAGTAAAAGAATTGTTCCAAATACCCGATGAAGCCGAAGAGCTTAAAAGGATAAATTTTTTCACTAAAAGGCATGTCTCTTTTGCTAAGTGAAATTCCAAATGGACAACGATTTTGACAAATCTGGAAATGCTTGTGTTGCTAGAAAACCAAACAAAAAACCATCATGTGTAGGGTATCTGTTCCAAGTAAAATTTTGCATCTAACAATTTCATTAGTGAAATGGGTTTACTATCAATAGGAATTGAATCTTACTCACCTACTCAGACATATATTGGTTTGAGAAGATAACGCAATGCAACCATGTCTAACTTTATAGGGTATCAATCAGAAATCAATATTTTCCATATGATAGGGCATAAAAAATAACGCCAGGATGCACGACCAAGATTTATAGTAACAGTAATATGGAGGATGTTTAGAGCTTCCTTCTGCATTTTCTGCAGATTTCCCTTGGTCAGATAAATATAAGAATTTGTGGTATCATATTAGCACGAGTATAAAGTTCAGTAATCAAATATTTTAATAAAAATAAACATCCGTCGACCAGTTTTTTTGTTGCTGCTTCAATTTGGTGAAAATGATCCTAATTGAATCCTAGATGTCTATAAATTCATCATAATAGAAACCTTGTAAATCATACATCCAGTCGAACATGAGTTAATATGACAAATGTAGAAAAATGTAAGCCAACTAAATTATACAAGCTATTGAAATCAAATTTTCAATTAATGTGAATCGGTAAAAAGAAGTCACTCGTCCAATAAAGAATATCCTAAATTTCCATTTACAAAGTAAAGAAACTAGATTGAGAGAGATCTATTCCAATTTGGAAGGCAGATATAGGTTTTGGGTAGTAGTGGATTACAAGTTACAGTTGAATATTTACACTGTCGCTTTGAGGACTATATAATTTTTCATTGTGCTTAACACATTAAAACCTTAGATATTGGAATCAATTAAGCTTGTGCATAATTAAATGGAGAATAATTTATAGTAAGAAAAGGCAACAGAAGCATAAAGATAACAACATACCTACAACTAAAACTGCAAGGAAGAAAGAGAAGAAATTATACAGCAGAGCAAAGATTGAAGAAAAAATGAAGCTTCTTAGCGAGATAACATGAAATTTTGGAAGTTAAAAGTACAAACACCAACAGAAGTATAAGGCATTCCAACTGAGCTAAAAAATCTCCTGAAATACTAATAAGAACCTGTTGTACTTCTAGTGTGAAAACACCAGAAGTAGAAACTGAGCAGAAAAACACACATTGAGCAAAAATAAAAGCTTCTGAAGTAAATCAAGGTGAATGTAGAAGAAATCAACAAAATTTTCACATATTAGATAGAAAGAAGATAAAAGGCGTTAAATAAAGCTGAGGAAACTAACAAACAAATCCCTAAATAAGCAAAAAGTGTAGCAAAATCTGAATCTTCTCAACTAAGTCAAGCTAAACTGAAGAAAAACCAGCTGAAAATATGAACAACGATACTGTAAATCAAGATACAAAATTGGAATAGAGTTGAACACCACAAAAATCGACGAAATAGAAAACATTAAATATAACATTTAGCTTCTGAAGTAGATCAAAGTCACTCAAGAGTAATCAAATATATTTTTCACATATAAGACACCAAAGAAGAAAAATAAATTAAGTAAAATTGAACAAAAGATGAAAAAATCCACAAAAAAGCAAAACTGTAACAAAAAATTCGAAGTTTCTCAAGTAGATCCAGCTAAACTAGGGAAAAAGCAACGAAAAACAAGTAGATGACATACCGTAGAACGAGAGACAGAGTCGAAGAGAGTCGAACGCAGGAGGAAATGATTGTGAAAGAGTCTAAATGATTTCTATCGCGTGATATTTTTATCATGAATACGGGTCGTTTCCACAATAGACATGAACAATATGAAACCAAATACGTAGTAGTAGCCGAACTGGTTCCAGTGTGAAATTGAGGGCAGAAAAATGAACAGGTAGCATTCCCTCTTTTATAGTAAGTTAAAAGAGCGTATTTGACATCTATTTTTATAGAATAATGAATTTTAGAACAGTAGATTGATGGAGAATGCGTGGATAAAAAATAAAGAATTTTTTTATTTACGTGTAATATTATTTTAATGATGAATGTGTGGTTAAAAAGAATAGAGAAAAAAAAAATATATTTTGATAAAAATGAGAATCAAACGGGACCATAATAAAATTACATCTATATATGTGAGTTTCAATTTTAAGTATGAAACTTAATTTAAATAATTTAATTTAAGTAATTAAACCTAATTTGGTTAATGTAAAATTCTAATTACTCCAATAGAAAACAATGAAAATCAAACTTAAATGGATATTAGATGAAATTAAATTATATTAAATGGTAATATGGGCCTGTTCGATAGTAATTATAAGAATTAATTTATTAACCGTTAGAGAGAAAAGTGGATCTCATATATGAGTGAAGAAGTAAAAAATTATAGCTGACTATGGGAAGTAACGATAAAAAAATTAATTTTGGGGTGACAATCAGAACCAAACGGGTGCTTATTTAATTTAATTTAAATAATATAATTAAACTTAATTTGATTAACGTAAAATTTTCAGTATTCCAATTCAAAACAATGAACATTAAACTTAAATGGATATTAAATGAAGTTTAATTATATTAAATGGTACTATATTAAATATAAGGGTAGAATTGATATATAGCTAAATATATAAGGGTTAAAATTGGTATTCAAAAGTTTCTCCTTGATCCTTCATTTTTAATTATTGTAGATAGATGTAGATTATTGTTCAATAATTTATAAATGAATTATGAATTTAATTGACTCTCAAACGGAAAGGGAATGCATAATTCCCTTAAAGTGTGCATTTAATTATCTTTTAAACGTCACATGTTAGTGGTACTAGACAACCGTCCATACTGCCTACGCCAAGGGCATATCTAGATATTATGTAAACTATCACGTACACACACATGTAAATATATGTATGTATATGTATATTTAGATTTTAACTTGGAAATTGAAATCTTTTATGTAAACGAATATGTATTTGCCATAATTTTATGAGTAATGGTATTCATAGTGAAGACTACCGGTAATTGTATATGTCACGTAAGACGACTATCAATAATTTTCACTATGAATAACATTATTCTTTTTCCCTTTTGCTACTTTTCACCACTATAATTTTCAGTACAAAGGTCGTTTGTATAATAAGGTAAGTAAACAACTTTCTTTTCTTAAATATGTTTTGCGAACTATATCAATAAAATCTATGTAGATTTAAAAAGGGTGATTATTACTTTCCTAATGTCTAGAAAACCACCAACTCTAATCTTTATTTTTAAGATATTTCAATTACTTAGATACAGGAATGAGGTAGTCTCAACTTTGCTGACAACCGCAGTGTGAGGGTTTGATTCTTGGAATATGAAATTAGACTCTTTGTGAGTATCAGTGTACGAACAAGTTCTTGTTCCCTAACCTGTCGAGACATATCTCACGATTTACCTCCCCCACGATACTCCAGGGGTGGGACGGTGGGAGCCTTCAAAGTTGGGGTTCAACCTTTACTTAGATACTATCATACTGCAAAGAGAGAATAGTTGAAGCTTTCTTCAATGCTTGTGAGTTTCAACATCGCTAGGCGAGGGAATATATGTTACTGTTCGAGTCCCCATTTTTTTAGGTTAGTAACTTTTGGAATGGTTATTTTATAAAAAAAATGTTGTTAAAAGGAAGGAAATTTTTTTGATTTGTGGGAAAACTTATCTTATCTTGAGAATGTACGATTAAGCATGTGTCCGAGAGTGCTATTATTTTACAAACAATTGATTCTTGTACGGTTGAAATGGGGCCCACCTCTGCTAGTCTATAGAGTCCCACAAACTTTTACCATTCTAATGAGATTTTATCATGTCATTTTACGTTTTAATATTATTTGGCAATTCAAATGATCATTGAAATGGGTCAATGATAATGACATAGAGAACCACTGTATTTCCAACGGTTGAAATTTTGCTAAAAATGTGGTGAGAATCCGGTTTGCAAAATGAATTTGATGAAGGGCCTGTTTGGGAGGGATTTTTAACTCTCAAAAATTGATTTTTTGACAGTTATTTTATTATTACAGCCGTAATTTTTGACTTCTTCTTTCACAGGTGGATCTCACTTTTCTTCTAACGGTCAAAAAATCAATTCTCAAAATCCCTTCGAAACGGGGCCAAAGAATGAATTTTTAAATAATGTGTTGAAAGAGTCGCACTTGTAGAATGCGGCTTCTAGAGTCGCGCTTGAACCCATATAAATAATTCAAATCATTTTCGCTAAATTTGGTAGCCAAAAAAATGGTTTCATTAGACGCCCTAACTACAACAGAAAAGGTTGCAACCCTCACAACCGCAAATGGCCAAGCAGCCATGGCCGTCGGTCCCGTCGTTCCCTACGCGGCCGAGTCCAACGGGGCTCAGGCTGAGACCGATGCTCCTAGGAGGAGGAGAATGACTATGCTTCCCCTGGAAGTGGGGACACGTGTCTTGTGCCGATGGCGAGATGGAAAGTACCATCCTGTCAAGGTCATCGAGCGCCGTAAACTCCCTGGAGGAGGAGGCAACGATTACGAGTACTATGTTCACTATAATGAATGTGAGCAACGAATTGCTTCTCTTTCTTTCTTTGTTTATTTTTTTTTCTTCGTTAATTTGAAATTAGGGTTACGGTTAAGTTTTAGGCAATATGAATTAATTTTATTGAATTTCTGCATTTTTGAATTGAAACTATTTTTAGTAGCTAGGCACCAGTATTAGCCTCTTGAAAACTTCGGGGATTTTTGAAGCTTTAGATCGTCAAATTTTATTTTGAAGGATGTTGAAATTATGTATGCCATTTTTTATAATTTTATATTGTAAAGAAAAGAGAACATTAATATATTGCCGAGTATTTGTGGCTAAATGTGATTTTTTTTGATGATTCAGTTGGAGTTTCTCTTAAGAATATGTTAAGTCTGTTTCTTGCTGAAGCGTTAAGTTTTCTAGTTTATACAATCCTAGCGAAAATACATAATCTCGATCTCATTTTATTCACGTGTTAATTCAGAATTTTGTATTATTGCGGCCAAATGTGCCCTAAATGCTTAACGGGGGAATGACGGCTAGTTTAAACTTTGGTCAATATACACAAGCAAGACATGAATGCCAATGACTATTAAAATTTTCATTATATACATAAGTTGTGAATGCAATATATGGAGGTGGTAAATGTTCCTTGCTGTGTTTATGGTTTTGAATTGATCGATGAGGAATCAAATTGCTTTCAGATTGTACGGGGTTTAAATTGTCTTTTCCTCCTCCTGGAAGAGCACCTTGTATTAAATTCAAATCCATCAGAGCTTGCACATGTAGTGCCAGTGGCAGATTTTTTATTAATTAGATTCAACCTTTTTCAAACTGGTAGATAAAGATTTCCGAGTTTAGTTTTACTTCATTTCATTCATCTTCTTTAACTACTACTGCCACTTGCATATCAATCACAGTTATTAAACTTGGACCGGAATGGTGAACTGGACATTCGTCTGGTCTGATTTACATTAATTGGTTCATTAGCAGTTAAACCAACCAAGAACTGCTTAAACTGGTAAAGAACTGTCCGAACCGGATGGGTTCGAAGAAAACTGGATCTGGTTCATTCCAAACTGGACAAATTAAAGGGGAAAATTCCAAATCGACCAATTAATGGTTCAAAGCAGAATTATATATCAAGCAATGGAGATGAATTGATCTTGTGCCTCCTTAAGAACCATATGGAATCCTTGACCACTATGGTAATTGGTGGAGCCTTTTCATTAAATGTAACATAAGTATATATGATTCGAACCTTTGCTTCCTACCTGAAATTTTAGGTTCTTGACCATCTAGGAAGTTACTGAAATACTGTTGTAATATGTGAGCCAAACATATATATCTAGTTTTAGCAAAATGGTTTTCTTTTTGTTTCAAAAATATATTTTAATCAAAGTTACTATCTAACAACAATGACCTATCGGTTCAACTACCGATTCATCTGTAGAACCATTGACCCAGTGGCCCGATGATTTTCCCGGGTCGACTACTGGGTTGGGTCTAATAGCTATGATATCGATATCTTTGGGTCATTCTACCTTTCTAAATGCTCTATTTCAACGTCTAGAAAGGTTAAATTTGGTATCGAGAATTATTATCTTTGTGAATGAATATAGAATTATTCAAACATGCTTAAGTTAAACTAGAAACGATGTTGAAAATCTATAATAGAACAAATTTAACAGAAGTTACAATCAAACTTATGACATAAATAAAATAGATTATAAAGATAAATAATAAGTTCTCAAATTAGTAATAACCTTACAATATTTTAATCTATTACTAAAAGTAGATACAATCTAGAAATCTCCTTTATTATCATTACTAATACAACTACAATCCATATTTCATTCCCTCACCGTTTCTTATCATCTAGCACTTGCAATGTCCGGTCAATCCTCGTAAAGTAGGAAAAAATTTAAAGTAGTTATAAAGCGTTATAGTCTATACAAAATAGCTAAAACACTTGAGGCTAGTAATAAAATGCTCAAAAAACACAACTTAAGCGTGCTTACACATAAGCCACCTTGAGGTGTAAGCGTCACTAATGGCACTCAAAGGGAGGTTTCGAGACGTAAACCTCAAAAAAGGGTTTGAAACAGTGCTCTCTTTCATGTGATTTCCTTTTTAAATATAATTAATGGCTTTGATGTTGGGGAAAATTTCGTTATGCAATCCATTATTTAAAACATGATGAGGCAATGCAAGCAAGAAACGCCTTAGGGCGCAATGTGAGGAAATTTTTGGAGTTGTACGCCTTAATTTTGTGAGCCACACGCTTCTAGGTTTGTGGGGGCATTTGCTTCTTGTGTGGGTAACATAAATTTTTTTGCTCACGTGGGGAATAGTAGTATACCATCCATTAAACATTGAAATTGTTTCTCACGAACCTGTTATGGGAATGGGTCACTATCCCACCAACTAAAAAAAATTAGTTTTTTGTTACTTTACAATTTTTGTTTTTGTTTTTGTTTATTTGTATAATTTAAATTGTTCTATTATGAATTTTAAAGGATTTTCTATATTTTTTATGTGCTTATTTTGCATTCTATTAGTATTTTGACTTTTTTTGGTTTACGGTGAGGGTTATACCTCGCCTCATGAAAGAAAAAAATGCATCAATACCCAATTACTCTTTTTAAAACATTGATTGCAATCACATTTTACTGAAATAAATGTATTAGATTCTTTTAACGTTTTACTCGTGTAATGGAAGGTTTTTATAGTTGATGTATTTAATATCTATTTTGTCCATTCTCTAAGTTATTGACTTATAAAAATTGTATTCTCTTGTTTCGTATTACCATGGGGAATCCATGGGTGCCAATGAATGGAGTAGGAACCTTTCCCTCTCAAGCATCGTATGTAATATTTATTTTATTCATCCTATGATGTACTGATTAACTAAGTTTTATGTTCTCGATGTTTCGTATGACAATGATGAATAAACAAGGTTGCCAATACACGGTGCAGGAATTTTATAAGTACCTGTTTTAACTGCTTTATTTCATTACGTATATGGTAGATTACTTGAGTGAGAAGTATACTACTGTTGTTTATGAAATTTTATATTCTTTTGTAACATCACCTGACTGTTTCTTTTGTCTTATGCCCTTGGTTTATTTTGGGTAGTCAACAGGAGACTTGATGAATGGGTAAAACTTGAACAACTTGATCTTGACTCTGTAGAAACTGTTGTGGACGAAAAGATTGAGGACAAGGTAACTTGTGTGTTTACCTCCAATATTTTTAAGTTCTTGCTTGTTATGCTAATAAATTTGCTCAACTTATAGTACATGCACTGAAGTTCACACTGATATATTTTGTCATCCACATCATTTCTTCTTTAAGGAGGTTACAATACTGCTGATTTTTCCATCATTAATATGCCATTCCTTGTTTTAAAGTTACTGTTTTCTTTCTCCTGTTTATTATTAACATTTCTTCATTATGTCTCTGTTTCTGACATTTTGAAAATTTTAGGTAACAAGCTTGAAGATGACACGCCATCAAAAGCGGAAAATTGATGAGACACATGTAGAGGTACTTGCTGATTTTATAATGCTTTTCACTATTCCGTGTTCACATTGTTACTTGCCAGTATTTTCATTATTGTTCTGTTTTCTGTGGTGCTTTATTATTTCAGTACTGTATTATGACGTCTTTGTAGGTTACCATGTATATATCACTCTAGTCTCCAACCACATGTGCAGGCCAGCACAAATGGTTGTAGTCATCCTGTTGTGGATTAATTGAAATGAGATCTAATTGGTCTAATTGAATCGGGGAATTTCTGCTAGATATTATATTAAGTTTCTACTTACACTCCTCCTTTTTCATGTTATTCTCGTACCTATAAAATCTTAATTATGTTCTCCTCAGAAAAGACAGTAGATTTTCATTTGGATGATCAATATATATCACATGAAATCACGTAGGGCCACGAGGAGCTTGATGCTGCTAGCTTACGTGAACATGAAGAATTTACAAAAGTAAAAAATATTGCAACGATAGAACTTGGAAGGTACGAGATTGAGACATGGTACTTCTCCCCCTTTCCACCTGAATACAATGACTGTACCAAGCTGTTCTTCTGTGAGTTTTGCCTCAATTTCATGAAGCGCAAAGAACAGCTTCAGAGGCATATGGTGAGCTTTTGTCTTCCATTCTTATTGTCTATCCTTTTTTTTTCCATGAAACTTTGACAGTTGATATCACACTTGTGACTGTAAGGAAGTTCTGCAGTTGCACCTCCAAGCTGGTGATGTTCAAGTTTTTATTTATATATTTAAATAAAAACAAATTTTCTGAGTTATCTGCTGTTTGTTCCATGTTATCTTTTACATATAGATAGCATTATGTACATTGCCATGATCATTGTCGCCGTAATCATGATCAGCATTGGTGAAATTAACCTTAAGACGTATTCTTACAATTGCTCACTATTTCTGCATTTGTATTTGTAGAAGAAATGTGATCTCAAGCATCCCCCCGGTGATGAAATTTACCGAAGTGGCACCTTGTCAATGTTCGAGGTAAATTTTCATCCCTCATTCAACTTCATCTTAATGTTTGAAAAAGCTAAATGGAAAAAGAATCATTATGGTTTTAAATCAGCAGTACCGGTTTCCATTTTGACGTGGTTGCACTCATTTATTTCTACATTACCTTGCCATATTCAATTTGAATCATTCGACTTCATAAAAATATTGGTCTTGCAGTATATTTGTATTTCGTTTTGCTAATACATGTATATTGCTGTAGACTTCATTCTGAACTAATGTTGCTACATTATTGACATTATAGTATATTGTATTTATCATTTAATCTGATTTGTTAGTGCAACATTTCTTTCTGCCATCCGTTTGAATTTTCTAAGTTTTAGTTATCAGCAAAAAAGAGTTGTCTAATTTTGAATGCACTGAAACAGGTTGATGGCAAAAAGAACAAGGTTTATGGCCAGAATCTTTGCTATCTGGCTAAATTGTTTCTTGATCACAAGACCCTGTACTATGATGTTGACCTGTTTCTGTTCTATGTACTATGTGAATGTGATGATCGAGGATGTCACATGGTTGGCTACTTCTCCAAGGTAATGTTACACCTCTGGGAGTTACTATGAGTTTCAGGCAGTTGCTTCATTCTATTTAAGTTATATTTTCCTTAATTGATGTAGCTCGCCATTTTCTTAAGATTTCACTGGAAGTAAAGAGAAACAGAGAATTGTCACTGAGTTTTGTATGCAATTACAGAGAAATGCACAGTAGAAGTAAACAAGAACTAGACTCTCTTATATTCATCTATTGCCTGCCCATCCCTTCCTTTCTACTTCTATTTATAACCCCTCCCTAACTGATTTAGCTTCCCCCCACTTGCGCTTGTAACAGAATGCATTTACTTTCCCCAGCTGATTCTCCATTCTTGATTCTTCTAGAATAGGTGAACCGGATGAGGGACTTATCAATGCCCTGGGGTTCCAAAGACGCCTTGTCCTCAAGGTGGGAATCAGGGCCAATTGTCATCATACAAATTTACCATGTCAAGATCTGAATTTCTGGGGTTCAGATTAGAGTGGAGCAGAACGTTGTTTGCTTTAACATCTCTATGTACAATTTGTAGTCGAGATTCCTCATGCAGATAAGTAAGACCTCTTGCTACTCCCATCCATATGTCAAAGCGTGTTGGCCAGTTAAGAGCTAAACTTCTATTCCCAATTAATACTTGATCAAGACCTTGTTTGGAGATGCTCATGGACAAGAAATGGTTTATCTCCCTCGATGCAGCATCCATACAATTTCCCAAGGTTATGGTGCTGCACAGCTGATATAGTGACACTCTACGACAAAATGACTCTTCCCTTGATGTGATGCCACAGCCAATTGTTTAACAGCAACAACTCTCCCATCCTCAAGCTTATTAGCTGGATTGAAATCTTGTCTTGCAGCTCTCTGCTCTGCATAACTGAATGTGTATAGTCTGGCATCCATCCCCAAGAACTCTTCATCCTTATAGCTCTTCTTCCTTTTTCTTCTATGAGACAAATATTATGCTTGAGCAGGTACACACCAAGTCCCTTTTCCAGCCCAGAAGCAATGGATTTCAAGGTAGTTTCAGACACTTGAACTTTCAATTCCTTCACAACAACTCTCAAAGGAGTCCTGTCAGCCCCTTTTATTATGTTAATGTCTTTGAGCTGCAGTTTCCCCTGGGCACATATCAAAAACACGCCTTCCAAGACTCATCCACTTCATAGGACCTAGAATTTCAATTTCTGCAAACTGAAGTTTTACAGTATAATTACCATTCTCAACACCCAATCCATAGTATTTCGAAGATCCAGAGTAGCAGGGAATTGGGACGAAGAAGAGCTTTTATAGCATGGGTTGTTGCTATTAGAAGGCAGACCAACATTGCTAACAGCCCATCTGTCCGTACTGCTTGTGTAATGTGTTGTCGGACCAAGAGTCTCTTTCCATCCATAGACAATCTGATCTGAACCGCCACATGTAATGGTACAACTGGAATTCAATCGAGCATCTATCACGAGTTTAGTATCCAACGAAACTCCATAACCAGCTGCCCCTACCCACAGAATGCCCTATTTTTTATTCAGAGATGGGTTGAAAACTAATTTAGGATAGAAAAGAGTGCCGCTGTTTTGCGAATTGAAGAGAGTCGGTGTAGTCTTATTGCAAGTAGAAATCAGATCTGTATACAGAATTGGGTTTGCTTCACCTAGTACTTGTTTTAGCGGTAAGTTGCCTTCTACAGATTTGGTCAACTCCAAAATCAAGCTCACATATTTTTTTATGAAATTCAGCCCTAATTGCCAGGCGTATGCCTTCTATTGATTGAGCCCTCTCCAAGACCAAGCCCGCAAGTTTTTCCATACGAATTTAGGCGTAATTGTCAGCCCACTAACATATTTTTCTTCCCTTTTCTTAGCTGACACCTTCATATTGTCCGACTTGATTTGCTGCAGCAATTTTTGTTCAGAAACCAGAGTTCCAGCATCTTGACTTTCCAATCACTCTGTCAATCACCACCATCTCTATTCTAATCAGAGGCGACTGTAATTCCTTTGGTACAAGCCTCCCTTGTTCCTTCCAGCCATTTTCCTTTGTCTTGTCCTCGTTGACAAACCAGGGTCCTTGGAGGACACTAGGAGGTAGCTCCCTTTCCATAATTCTCTAGGACCCATCTCCTTCCAGTACCCAGTTCTTTGCTGCCTTAGGGAGAATCAAGGCAGCCATATTTTTCTGGGTTTCCTTCTATTAACTGCATCATTTTGGCCTTGCTCTGATTGAGGTGGTCCACTGATTTTTCCAATCTAGGTAAGTGCTTCATCTCTGATTTCAATCCCTCAACTTCCTTCTCCATTCCTTTCACCCTGCTTTCTATCTTCTTATGGGCCATGAGGATGAACATGCTCTCATATAAATTTGTTAAGACTCCACTGGAAGAAAATGGAAAAAATAGAAATAGAGAATTGTTATTGAGTTTTGTATGCAATTACAGAGAAATGCTCAGCAGGAATAAAGTAAACTAGAACTAGACTCTCTTATAATCATCTATTGCCTGCCTATCCCTTTTCTACTTTTATTTTTAACTCCTCCCCAACTGAATTGGTTTCCCCCTACTTGCCCGTGTGACAGAATGCAGTTACTTTCCTAGGTGATTCTCCATCCTTCTTGATTCTTCTAGAATAGGTGAACCGGACGAGGGACTTATCCCATTTATGGACATTTAAAATTCCACTCAACGTGAAAAATGATATTCCGCTTGTATGCCAAAATTAGTTTGATACAGAAGCAGTTCCATATAAATTTGTTTCTGCGCAAGCTTGATCTTGAGACTTTGCATAACTGGTTCTGCTTGTCAAACTTAAGTGAGAGGCGAGGACTGACCAAGCTCCTGCCAACTTGTTTAATTACAACATAGATGGGAAAATTGGCTTTGCAATGTCTTGTCAGTAATATGAACTTCAAGAAACAATTGCTCTCGATATTTCAAATTTGAACGTTAAATAGGTTTTGTTAACAGATCTGACAATCAAATATTTTTTTATTCATCTTTCTCTGATGCAGGAAAAACAGTCCGAGGAGTCCTATAATTTGGCCTGCATTCTTACTCTTCCTCCTTATCAGAGAAAAGGCTATGGAAAATTCCTAATTGCATTTTGTAAGCTACTTCATTTAATTTTATTTTCTATTCATGAGATGCGTTCACTTAGATTTCATAGTCTACACTGTAACTCCAAGAACTATTGCCTATCTTAATATGGTTTGGGTAATAAGGTATCAAAAAAGGAAAAATGTTATGGTTGTTTGCTGATCTAAATCTGACCAATCAATGACTGGGATACAAGACTTGCACATGTCCTCTTGTTAATGTCTTCAGATGATATAAGTTCCTTCATGGAGCTCCTCAAAGAAGAAAATATTGCTATTTAAATTCTTAAAGATCTTTATGTCGTTTAGGTTCTGTTTGAAAACTTAAAAACTTTAAAAACAAGGGCAGACTAGGTTTTAAATGACAATGCAATTTATCTTGAGATAATAAAATTTTGTTGAACCAAGTTTTTCATCAATACCCAATTTGGCATAAATGAGTCCAACTAATTTATATTGTGAAAAAATCCTTGAGATGCTTCGTTGCTCACTCAAGAAGATAACATAATATTTTATCTATTCTAAGAGAAAAGTTTGAATGCCTTATGTTTTAGATAACAAGTACAAACACCTAATTGGAATTCTATTTATCCATTTCCTGCGATGACTATAGTGGATATCCAGTTTTAGTTTAGGATACAAAATATCAAAATTATCTCCATCTCGCAAATGAAAAGCGCTATCAAACTGGGAATTTTTTTGTTTCAGACTAGTTATATAAATCCAGAATAAGAGTTCGCCAAGAAGGCAAGAGCTAAATTAAAGAATTATACATCTATATATGTCGGGCAAGATAGATTAACCCACGACAATGTATAAAAGGCTTATGAGTACGTAAATAAATAAATAAAATAGAAGAGAATAGTCCAAAAAGCTAAGAGCAGTAATTCAATGTACGGAAAATGCAAGACAATAGGCAAACGCCCTAGTCGTCTTGAGGCATAAGCCTTCTTGGCACTTAAGGGGTGGGATTTGAGGCATTTTATGTAAGCCTCACGTACATTGGGAAGCCTCAAATGGCTTTTTCGAATGACCCACTCACTATGAGGGACTACTGCCAATTATTTTAAGTGGTCCACCTTTATGATAGAAATTCCTTGTTTAGGAGATTTTAGTGATAACACTCAGTGCAACAGATTACTTGTGTTCTCATCATTTTAGATGTCGTCGTTGATTTTGTTTTACAGCATATGAGCTTTCAAAGAAGGAAGGTAAAGTTGGAACACCTGAAAGACCCCTTTCTGACCTTGGTCTTTTAAGTTACCGAGGATACTGGACCCGCGTACTTCTAGATATTCTGAAAAGGCACAAAGGCAACATCTCTATTAAGGTTTGTCCTTTATACATTGTAATCAAATTCTAACATATGTTTAGTATGCAGAAGATTGGATGGTGAGTACATATTTTATTTATTGCTTTATGCTGTACACAGCACTCTTCATTGGCATAAATTTGTTGAAATTTGCTCGTGAAATCTACTGGGGAAAATAAAGATAACCCTACAATTACTACCTTCAGTTACCATTCAAAGGATTAAAAAGAATTAGATCGTAGTTCTTATGTTTCATGAAATGCTGATGTTGTCTCTGCACGATAATGCTTCATCAGGATATGTTGAAGTCTTTGGGGGCAACAAAAGGATAAGGGCAAAAGCGAAAGAAAGGAGAAAAAGGGAATAAAGGGATTCTGAGCAAATTTTGTTTTTGTCAAGTCTTTTAGTCCTTGATGCTATGTATTATAGTTAACAATGTAGTTGAGCTGGGTACTGAAATCATATCAATTATGGCAGTAGTTTAGTTGCCTATATCAGCTAACGCTATTACCCCTTAAAAGTATGTTGAGTGATTAGTTATTTCTGTAGATCTAGCAATCAACTCAACGGAGTGGTTAAAAAGGAGTCATTGTTGACCCCCAAATTTATTGGTAGTCAGACTTAGTTTTTTGATTTATGGATAGTTTATTTTAGCCCAATTGTGCTTATTCGGAAAATAAAGTATTTAAAAGATGCATATTTTGACTGCATTGTCAAAACTGATTCTCTGTCAGTGCATGTAAACAATGAAAGTGATATTGCATGTAAACAAATACCTGGGGAGGAAAAGTATGAGAATCTGTGTCTCATTCTCTTTTCTATAACCAGGAAAATGAATTGTCAACACTGGAGGAGTCGAGGAGAGATAATAGAATAAAATGTATGAAAAATGACATTTCATTTTCTTTTGTACTTTTCTATGAGATTCCAAGGAAAAGTATTGTAGAAATTGGAGGATTCAGAGTCCGTGCAAAGCCAACTTCATTATTCTAATGGGAATTGGGAAGATAGAGGGGGAAGAAAGGGCTGGACCATGTGGAAACTTTTATCTACCAAACTATAAATTTCTATTTTCATTTCGAGTCCACAAACAGAGAAGCAGAATCCCTTTGAGCTTTCTCCTCCTACTTTTGGTTTTAGATCATGTTTGTTCAAGATTTAAAATTTGCTTTTAAATAAATTACTAATTTGTTTGTTTTAAAATAGGACGAGTTGAGTTACTTTCCAAGTAACTTTTTGGCTTGAAAATAAGAAAAAATGACATCCAAACATGCTTGGAAACTAGAATGTTACTTAAAAGTAACTAGTAGTTATAGTTATACTTAGTTTAGCCGAACTTGCTTTTTTGTTATATCATCTCGTTTTTGGTTATGTTACCAGTAAAAGTAGCTGGTAGTAGTTGTTATATTTAAGTTTAGCCAAATGTGCCCCTAATTTTATCAGCAGCAGTCATTGTTCCTGTGCATGCATTTAACATATTGTTTATTGGTTCTGTTATATCTTACTTCCGTTTCCATCTTGATTTTGGTAATGTTACCAGCAAGTTCCTTGTTAATTACTTCTTACAGGAGCTCAGTGACATGACGGCAATCAAGGCAGAGGATATTCTGACAACCCTTCAGAGCTTAGAGTTGATCCAGTACCGTAAGGGGCAGCACGTAATTTGTGCTGATCCCAAGGTGTTGGACCGTCATCTGAAAGCTGCAGGCCGAGGAGGTCTCGATGTCGATGTATGTAAATTGATATGGACTCCTTATAAAGAGCAGAATTGATTTCATGTTATCGAGGTCTGTTTATGGCTATGCCACCCTTGACGTTCGACTTGAACTGTACATTGTAAATAGAAAATCTATCAGAGGATCAAATCTTCTGGTGATTGTTCTAGGTCTAGGACGGCTTTTAACTTGTTAATATGGACAGGTTATGTCCGAAGTTCATGGTTGGTACACAGGAGTGGATGCAAATTAATACAATGCCCTTGTTTATTTTCCATTCTTTCCCCATTAAAATGAAAAATATAACCGTTACTAAGCCATCAAATTTGAATTTCTATCTCTTGTGTGGAATCCATAACGGCTATATTTTTCATTCTCATTTTTACAAAAATAGGAAACAAATACCCCTAACATATTGTTTTGCTAATATCTGATCTTTCCTGCCATGAGCTTTTGTCAAGGCGGACTGAAAATGGGATGATTGCTTTGTAAGTCTTGTAAATGTATCTTTTTAGAACAGCAGCACAGTTGGAGACATGACATGTTCGATATTTATATTTTCGTTATTGATAGGCAGACTGAAATTTTGAGTGAGTGGTTTGGCCTTCCATTATTGTTTCTTGATATGCATTTTGAAAATTCGAGATGGTTGATCCTTTATTAGGCATTGTGTGATCTTAGCAACTCCACTGGACCTCGTGAGATAGTTATTTCAGACATACAGACTGTTCAAAAACTTTTTGCATCAAAAATACAATAATGGAGACTGAAGAACTTGAAAATTACAGGAAAGCTTAAATATTACAGACCTCTTTAAAATATCATTAGGTGCAATGAAATGAGTGGTAATGAAAGGACTGTGTAGAGCACACCAATTCAATGTTGCAGTCAACATTCGCACGTATCAAATTACACAATATACTCATTTATGCGTATTTAGTCCGAGGTTGGTTTGAATAAAAATTAGATTTTTAATCAAATTTGATAAAAGTTGGTGAAATGTGTAATTGAAAAGTTGATAAAAGTAGAGACACACATAAAATGTGATTCAAAATAAGCTTGAAAAAAGACAAGATTTGAAGAAACGGGGATCAATTGAAAGGCAATATAGGATCAAGGAATAATTTTATATGAAATATTGGTTTATCATCGAATATAACGTTGTCTAATTTAAATAACAAAATTTGATTAGGAGTTCTATATGCTTCAATGAAGGTTCAGTTTCCATTTCCCAAACTATTAAAAAAGAAAAATAATTTTTTCATTATTAGATCTTTATGGGAAAATCGAAGTTACCACCTGTCAACCAATTTTGCGAAAATTCTTTTTTGGACAATTAAACACCATTCTAGTTACATTTAACATCCATTTCCATATTTCATTCCTCTAAATCCTTGTACCATTCAAGAAGTTGCAATAGCAACATTCGCCCAATATTTTTCGCTATTATTAATGGAGGTTGTAGAATATATTTTCTAAAAATAGATTTGAGTTATTGATCTTTCATTTTTCTACTCAATTCTGTTTTCGAAAGGCGATTTAAAAGCAATCACAACATACTAAATCCACAAGGAACTCCTCAATAAACAAAAAACAGTAGAATTTGGATACAAATGGGAGCCTAAATAAAAAGGTCCCTTCGGCAGTAACATTTTGTCATCCCTACAGATTACTCATATTTTCTCAACCTTTTCCTCTCATTACACTGTTTACAGAGCTTTTTATACTACTTCCTGGAAAGAAAAATACATCCTCTTGTGAACATATTAAAAACAGACTAAAAGTACAATTGAGAGCCCCGTCGAAGCATTACTGGACATGTTTGATACAAATACTGGACTAGACATTTTAATAAATAGAATTTTAATTTCTTTTTTCTACTCTGTCCAGTCTACCTTTCCAAACATATCAAATATAATTTTATATGAGGTTATCAAGAGAATCATGTATGATGATTCTGGTCCTCTTCTTCACCTAAAGTTTGAACATCTGCTGCTTCCGGCAGTTTCGACTCCGAATTATCTTCTGGTAACTTCGATTCAGAATTTTCCGACTCGAAGTGTGATACTTCATCTACATCAAAAGATAATTTAGAAAGGTCCTTGGACATATCATCATTTGACTTCCCTTCCCCGCTGTTTTCTAATTCCTGCACAATTTCAGTCTGATCATCCATTTGACCTTGCGTGCCTGCAACTGCAGGAGACGAAGTTCCAACACCCAGTCCTTTGGCAAGACACACATACTTGAATACAAGTTGCTTGTAATTGTCTAGCAGGTCTTCTACGTTGGAAACTGTCAGATCACCAGCCTGTGAATACAAGTACGGGAAATCCCTAAAGACATGGTTTACTTCATCTTCCTTCATAAGCATGGTAGCACCTTTGTTCTCCAGATCCAAGATAGATGGAATTTTATTCAAAGATAACTGATCTTTAGAGTTTGATTCCCTGTTATTGGATTTCATTTCAGATGAGTCGACTGAGGACTGACCCGACACTGTTGAGCTCTGGTGCTTCCAAGAATTCATAGGATGTTTGGGATCCACCGCCTGTGACATGGGAGCATGACCAATTCTTTGATCAGATTGGCCTGGTGAATTGTCAGAACTTTCAGAAAGGTCATAAAGCAGTGCTCGAGCAGATTCCATGTTCTTTTCAAACTCGCTTTCGTCCATTGAAAGGGCTTGTGCAGTGATATTCATAATAAAAGACTCCACAGAAAGCATGTTTGTGAAAAAGTAGGCTGATTCTGCCACCAAACGATTTTGTTGCCTGTACCGTTGTATATAGGATAAGTTGGAATGCAGCTGTGGAGGGTTTGCCTGTTCAAGCCAACAAATTCAATGTGAGAAAATCAAATGATCAATTTAAAAGAGGGCAGATAATAACCAAAATAAAACGAATTGTGTGCAGCTGTGACTGTGAGCATCACCGCACACATTATGGTCGAATAAATGAAATTTGAACATACATTAAAAATAATAATAATAAAAAAAAAATAAATAAATAAAAAATCTGCATCCTGCTTCCAATCAAACAAACACCTAACAAAGTTCTGAGACAAAATCTAATGTCTCCACAAGCAATGTGATAAGCCCCCCCATCTTTCTAGAAGAGCAAAGAAGGATGCATTACCAGATGGGGAGTAAAACGGAAATCTGTTAAGCAGGGAAAATAGTTAGAGAAATCAGTTAGTGGAGGGTTATAAATAAAGGGGTTAAGAAGCATAGTAGGCAGGCCATTGTAGAAAGTGAGAGAGGAATTAGTTGAGTCACAATCTCACATAGGCATCTGTTATCTTTCTTTTACCATAATCTTTTTAGCTTCAATCAAAGTTCTACTTATTCAGATTCTTATATATTTTTTTTTCAGTTGGATCCTATCACAATGCCAGGATAAACAATTGTCAAAAGCTAAACTAGATATTTGTTGATATAAAATTTTAGCATATGACAAAACCATTGTCACTGACCTGATAAATATAGTGAGCGGAGATGAGTAATATAGCACATCCTTCAAGTTATTTTACTCTAGAATTTACAGTTTGTTGTATTGCTTTTTAGCAGTTATATTCCCTAGCAAATAGAGATCTGTGGTGAGAACGCTTTAGTCATTTCATGCCCTTGTTTGAGCCCCATTTTTTGGGAATGAATAAATTTTTGAATAGTGTATTGATGGAAAATGTGTGGTTAAAAAATAAGGAAAAGTTTTGAATTTGTGTGTAATATTATTTTATTGAATAATATGTGGTTGAAATGATGTTAAAACACTGTTGAAAAATGAATTTTTCCAAAAGAATGGGGCTCAAACAAGGGCCATATTTACAAAATGGGGGGACTCAACTAAACGTTTCAGCCCAATGCCCAACAAATAGCTCTGACTCATTAGGTACAGCTTTAGCATGTTTGGATAAGCTCAAAATAAGTAAAAAAAAAATTACTTCGAAGCACCTTTTGTATACACTGGTCATTACACTGGGTGGTGAATATCAGCATGGAGAAAAGGTAGAGGTGACACATAAGGCATGCCCAGGATGCAAGTAATTTGGGAGAATTTCTCAATAGGATGAGAGTATGTGTACAAGGGAATTTGGCCGAAGTAACATCGAATGCATTTCTTTATGGAAGATTTTGCCAAACCACACCATACTTTTGCCTTGACTCCCTAATTTTCTTGTCGGTTTTTTTATTCGTGGAATTGGTGATGTGGTACTCAGATGTAAAATTGGATCTTGGATTTTCTTTGCTTTCGCGGGTCTCCAAAAAACAGATGATTTCAACGAGCTTTCATAATATATTTCAACTTGTATCACCAGTTGAACGTGTATTTTGAGCCCTCTGGCACCTTTTTTTAATACCTCCCCCCACCCCCCGCCACCAACACCCCAAATCCATTGTGCCCCTATCCCCAAAATATTAAGCCCCCATTTGTTTCCTATTCTTTCTCCATTAAAATGAAAAATATGACCGTTATCCATCACATTAAATCACCAGATTTGAAATTCTATCTCTTTTGTGGAGACCATAAAGGCTATATTTTTCATTCTCATTTTTGTAAAAATGGGAACAAACGCCCCCTAAATATGTAATAAACTGATCAATGATAAACTTGAAACTCCCAGCAACTTGTGTGCTTGAGATGTAATCTGAATCTGGGAGAGAGAATTATCATTGATACCATATTCTAAACTTGAACCTTGTTCAGCATTTATCTCCCGAATTAAGTGTTAGCTTCAGTGCAAAGCATTGCAGTTTCAGAACACATTCTACGAATACGAAACTTGTAATGTCCTTGAGAAAAGACACACCCCATGAATGATGATAATTGAAATAAGCAAGAAATCATAGAATTTCACCAGATAAAAGGAAAAGGAGGTGGCAATTTGGCTCGCCACGGGCGGCCCAGGAAATGCCCTAGCTGGACCGGCTGGAGGCTCGTCCCGAGCCCCATTTTGGGAGGATGGGCGAGCCTGAGCCATCCCACGAGCCTTAAAAAAAAAAAAAAAGAGCGAGTCTGCCAATTTCAGCTCGAGCTGAAATTGGCAGACTCGCTCTTTTTTTTTTTTTTTAAGGGGGGGGGGGGGGCCGCGGCCCCCCCCCCCCCCTTAAAAAAAAAAAAAAAAAAGAGCGAGTCTGCCAATTTCAGCTCGAGCTGAAAACTCAGGTCGAGCCTAATTTTTTCGGGCCAAGAAAAAAGCTCGCACATTTTACCCGAGCTGAGCCTCAACCTCGAGTTTCTGCTCGGCTCATTAACATCCCTACACCACATCATGGTATTGTCCCACATATTGCAAAAACACAAGCTTCGATAACAGCAATGCCACCAAATAGAAAAATCAAGAAACTGAACAGCAAATGGGGCCACAAAAGGATAAGCATCGAATAATACAGCAAATAAGCAGAATTACCTTTATGGTGACATATATGAGAACAGGGAGAAATTCATCTGCTCCTGGATGATCTTCACTGGCTGCAATGGAGGCATTGATCAGTAGGTTATTGATAACCTTGCAACAATTGAGAATGCAGACAAGTTTATCTCTTGGTGCCTTGTACATATTGATTTTTTGTAGCTCTTTCTGTGCAAGCTGCCACAGTGGAAGTACAAGAATGGGGTTAGACTTGGCACTGAAGCATCTAGCTGAGTTAAAGTTTATCATTCCTGTTACAGTGTTTAAGATTAGACAAATCTGTTTTACAACAAGGAGATGTGTCCATTTCCCAAGCTCTCTCTCATCGCATACAATTTTATCTCAAACCCTTCACAATGATTATTTTCCACATGGTATGCAGGTAGGATATACCATCTAAGATCTCATCAAAACCCAGCTCTAATATATGAGCTTTCAACCATTTAACCTCCTAAAACAGTTTTACTACCACAACTGTCAAAAATTCAAATAAAAGCCACAACTTGTACGCAAATCAGCACATAGAGAACTTCATTGAACATTGGATACTTCTGCAAAACCAATGAGTTTAGACAAGCTAGTGCAGAAAAGATAAATTTGACGGGACCAGAGCCGTGAGATGCAAGGAAAATTAATCATACTAATATTCAAGTTCATCTGGAAATACTTTAAACTCTTTTTTATTTTCTAGTTTTCAAGGCAACAAAATCACGTGCCAAAACAATTGAGGGGCTTGGCGTACATCTGTATATAATCTACTTATTTGTCAACAGATGTTGCTTGAAAGTAGAAAATTAAACTGAAAGGATGTTTCACACAAAGGAAAAAGCATCCCACAAAAAAATCTACTACTTCCACACGATACATAAACCACACTGGATAATCCTATAATAACTAGCCATGATGTTTCAGCTAAAAGATAGGGTTGATATTCAATCACCAAAAACCAAGTTAATTGCTACATTCCTTCTTTTAATGAAGTTAATAGTCAATTTACAGATCTTCAAGAAGTGAAGCAAATCAGAGGGCAATCAATTTGGACATGAAAGAACTCGTAACATTTACAAGACAACATTACTCTCTCTCCATGGGCTCAGGAAAATACTGTCTAACTACAGGTCTCTTCCTACACATCAGTTATGTTTATAAATATCAATGGGCGACCAGTAGAGGAGAAAGTAGAGAAAGAGTGAATATGGATACCTATGTTCATTTATTTAACCTACACCCAAAACAACCACGGATCCTTACCAGACTTCAAAATTTCATACCAGGGTGCGCAATAAAAATCATACAAGGATGTTTCTTCTGCATTGTGAATACAAGATCAGGAATATGTAACAATCCAGAAGCACACTGCAGGCTATTGTGGTCATTACAAAGTTTAATTCGCAACTAGAAACTCAACTGGCAAAGTATTCAACACAGTAGGGTAAATCATTTTAAGTTGATTCTTTTACTCACCAACCATGATGTTTCATTTTGAAAGGTTGGCTTGATATCCAAGTTTTCTGGCCGAATGAATTGTTGAATCAAAGCCATCTTCTCATGAAGTTGCTTGTCAGCCTCCACATCTTCCGGAATTACAGCAAATACACGTGTAAATAACTTTGTCATGACATATTTTTCCAGTCCCTATAATCGAAAGAAGATGTATAAATATAAAGCCCTTGCGAAGTTAAGAAAAATTATTCTCCAGTCACTGAATATGAAGGATATCTGGGTGTAATGACAGATACGAAAAGTTCAGCTAAATTTAGAAAAACATTTTGTTACTAAAACCATTTTAACTAACGTGAAGAAGTCATAAACAAGCATATTTATATAAAGAAAGAGATTACGAAAAAATAGCTGAGAAATTGATTATCGAAGGAAGGAAACAATTGATCACAAAGTATCATTCTTCATAAAACTGCTGCCGCAGAAAAGGCCAGTCAGCATTTAGGTGCAAATATATGATTATTTTAATCTGAATCGGGGTGTAAATAGACCATTCAAACCAACTTCTTAGATACTCCAACTTGCAATAATAAACAAGATTCAATAGTTTTCAAAATTGACTCTTATTGTTCAGCCAAGCTCAGCAAGCTTTTGCTGAGCTGAGATTGAACAGCTTGGTTAGTTTACATTACACTGGATACTTACTAGTTCAACAACTAGAGCTCAAACCAGCTCTATAAATGTTCAAGAATGCATTCACGTTTGGTTATTTTACTCTCAAGCCAAACTTAGATGAGCTTTCAATGAACCAAGCCCAAGCCAGTCCAAGTTTGTTCAAGTCAATTTGTAGCCTGCATCTAGATCATATTCCAAGCAGAATCAGAGAAAGAGAGCTGACAATTGCTCAAGCTAGTTTTATATGAAGACAGATCATTTTTTGGAATATCGGAAATGTGTCTAAAATCATAGTTATGGTAACGTTCTAAATTCAAAAATCCTCAAATCACACACCGGAACTCCAACATATTTGCCAAAACTGCTACAATGAATAAACTTGACACTTATAGCAGATTATGGTACTGATCATCAAATATGGAAATTGAAAGGCTACATTCTTTTGCAATATGTCATCTCGACAGATAAATGAACATGTGTTTAAGAGCAGCGCACGTAATGTATGAAAAGTAGATAATATATGGCATCCCCAAAGGTAGCACTACATGTGTTTCATGTGTGAGCATTGACGGGATTCATTTAAAGCCAAAACTATGTATGTGCTTGCAAGCCTAGGCCATGAAACTAAACTATGTCAGAGTTCTCATCATTTGTTCCTGCAATTGTAACCACTGATAGACCACTTTTATGTTCAAAATTCAACCAAATTAAACAAAAGCGAGATCAAGGAGCAGAAGACACCCAATCTCCAGAAGAAATTCATAAATAAGGCAATATAATTAGGTTATTAATCTTTTTAACCTTTTTGGACTCGCACTTAAACAGTATCATGAAAATCAAAATGTTAGTGGTGGAACACTAAGATTATCATCATAATGTCCTTTCCATACCATTCCAAATATCATTTTTGTCTGCTCATTGTGGCTCATGAGTGTGAAATAAACAATAATTGGAAACTACTGAAACTCACTTCACCAGCACTCTCTAACTCCTCCTCCGAACATCCAGCCCAAAGGGAGTGTGATCTAAATGCCGCTTCCATATTCCCAAGGAACTCCTGCACAGCTGTGCTGTCCCTTTCCGCATCCGGCGTATTGTTAAAAAATGACACTATAAAACTGCAAACATTCCAACTCAAATACTTGGTGTATTTACCAGTGACAAAAAAATATATAGAAGTCACTAATTCCTAAACTATTAGTTAATTACATAATAAATACCAAAAGAAAAGGTGATTTTAATAATAGCAGTTCAAGCATCAATTCAAGCTTAAATGGAGCGATTTGCACAAAATACTTTTTTTGTAATATTTTGCAAGTGAACAAAGTGATTTATGCATTGAAATAAATAAATAAACAAGAATGACATGTGGAAGGTGATAAGAGTCTATGAATCATAAACTAGCAATCGTACAAATTTCAGTTATCCTGTATTATAGAAGCTAAAAAAGAGTGTATGGGAGCAGTCAAGCTTTAAATTTCTTGGGCTTATTTCAATTCAATGATAAAAACCATCAAAACCAATTTTTTTAAGATTCAGCATAGTTGATGCAAGTGTTTACAGTTGAAGTTACTATTGAACAAGATATAATAATCATAAATGAAAATGCACAATATCGAGGTTATGCTGGACATATGTACTATCAGAAATATCTGAAATTGGTCTAAATATTTAGCACATCTAATTATTTTTTTGCAATAATGTATAGTTACATCATACCATGAACAAAATTAGCTATTTGGACATTCATTAAAAATAAATTATTCAAATCCACAAGTTGTTCATCAACATCGACTGTTATTTTTTACTATGAATCAAATGACTAGCAATAATTAATAAGTTACCCATAGCAATAATTACCTTTTGATGGCTTTGACGAAATCAGATGCGGAGGGGTGGCGCATGCGTTCGAGGAAGTACTGCCAAGTCGGAGTGGCCGTCGATGATCCAAAGACGTCGGAATTCTCCATTACTATCCGACGGCGATCCAATCGAAGGATGCGATTGGTAAAATTAGGTGCTTTCAGGTGGATGTGATTAGAATTTATGTAATTAAATGCATCTATAGGACCATAGGTATACAAAATTTATTGAAATTCCTATAGAAGAAGAGAAATGGCAGAAAAAATTTGAACATCTGGGATTTAATAAAAAAGGCAGATCAGGATTTTGCCGCTCTCATGGCCATGGCCGAAAACATACAGATGGTGGGTGGGGAACTGCTATGCCGAAAGTGGCCAGAAGTGAGGATGGGTCGGGATGGCAACGGCCCGCTACGATGGGCACGCTTTTATTTTTCTATAATATGTGAAGTTAGGTGTAAAAGCCTGGTGAGGTTATCTCACGCTGAGTGACAGTCACATGGGAGGAATTCGATTTTTGAGATATGGAATTGGATTTTTTTATTGGCGTAGTATATAGATAATTCTTATTTTCTGATCTATTGAGATACATTTCGCGATTTATCTCACTCATAAAGTTCTAGGAACAGGGCCAAGGTTGGAGTTCAACTTTTATTTATTTATTTTATGTGTGAAGTTGAATCTGCAACATCAGTGCACAGAGAGATGTCTTCATATGATCTATCCTGTTGATATTCATCCTTAACCTATACAATTTGGCCTATGAATATGATATGAGACATTTGTCTGTGAACAGTGTACAATATGACTCGTCAGTCGCATGGAAGCATTGATTTGTTACCTATGCTATATAATCTGTAACATGTTTGATATTGATCTATAACCCATACAATATGACATGTTTCCTTTGACTTTTGACCCGTGACCAATTTTCTTTTAATTTGTAACCTATATACAATGACCTATGAATTGTTACGTGTGACACGTAACAAGATAGCTAAATTATGACTTGTGACAAAGGATATGTAACCTGTGCAAATGAAAATGTGACTAGTAACATTTAACAATTCAAACAATCTATCTATACCAATGACAACGAATAAATTTCACCCCAAAACCTCACCACCACCATCATTTGCAAACACCAATAACCAATAAAAATCACCTTAAAACACTGACTATGTAGCATATCTGAAAATTACCATAAAATCACCTCAAAAACCATCACAAAACCACTCATTCCCCCTCTCACCAACCCCCATCACTCACAATTTAAAAATAAAATAAAAAGGTTAATGGATTAATTTCACAACGGTCACTGAACTTACTTAAAAATCTCAAAACAGTCACTGAAGTTTAAAACTTGTAGAGATGGTCACTGAACTTACGGGGCGTTTTCACTAATGGTCACTAAAGAACCAAAACACGTGAATTGGATCCTTGAGGACCTCAAGTGTAAATTCCATCTAATTTCATTTGATCAAAATCTACCCCTGAAATTTAGAAATCAAGCATTTTGCCTCCCACTTACACAATATTCACCGACGCCAGAAATTGCCAAATTTGACCACCATGCCGTTGGAACTACTACCAGATTTTTGTACCACCAACACCTTCTCATCCCCTTCCACAATCCTATGCCAACAATTAACCAAAACACATCAAAAATCAAATGAAATTCAGGTTCCAAAAACCACCCCACGCACGGTATTACATCCAATTTCGGCCCATTCGAGATAAATTGGTGAGGACCCATATGTGCATCTTGTTCGCCATGATGAGTAGAAGGTAATGATGGTGGTGCGAGATCGTAATTGTTGACGTCGGTGTCGAAAATTGGGGCGGAAAGTGCGTTCTTTGCTACCAGAGAACTAGTTTGAGTTATATCCTGATTTAAATTGTTTTGTGATGGTATGGATCATGTACATGTTCGACTTCGGGAGTACTAACAGCTTGTGATGGAGTTTTGGCATGGGTGATGATGGGTTGGCCGAAATTCAGAGGTAAAACCGTGCGTGGTTTGGTTTTTTGAACTTCAATTTCATTTGATTTTTGGTGTGTTTTGGTTAATTGTTGGTATAGAATTGTGCAGGGGGATGATGAGGTGTTGGTGGTGTAAAAATCAGGTAGTAATTCCGCCGGTATGGTGGTCGAATTCGCCAATTTTCGGCGCTGTCGAATAGTGTGTAAGTAAAAGGAATTTGGCAATTTTTGGTTAAAGCGATTTGGTCCTCAAGGTTTTATTTTCAAGTGTTTTGGTCCTTTAAGTTTGAATTAAAATCATAAAGGTCCTTCAGTAACCGTTAATGAAAGCGCCCAATAAGTTCAGTGACTGTCTCTACAAGTTTCAAACTTTAGAGATCGTTTTGAAATTTTTAGGTAAGTTCAGTGACCGTTTGTTAAATTAATCCAAAAGTAAATAGAAAAAAGTCATTGTTCCGAGACAAAACTATCACTCTATAAAACATAATTTTTTATATTAATTTAATTCCCACCAAGTAAATAATATTGGCCAATTCACCCTCTAATAATTACTTCGGAACAAATCCTTAACATCAATTGGAAAATAAAGTTAGATAGAAATTAAGAGGATTTTTGGCATTTTGGGTTGTAATAGGATCTTGGAATGACTTTGGTTCGGGGGCAAGAAAAGTCCGTCACTGATGGAGAGATCGACGACGGAGGAGAGGAGTGAACGAAGAATTTGACAATTAATTTGGTATTCCATTTTTTTCCAATTTTTTCGCTATCGGAATTGAGAGTATGGGAGGAGTGGGTAGAAAAGATAGATTGATTAAGAGAGAAGAAAATGACAAAAACAGGAGATAACGGGTATTAATTTATAATAATAATATTATTAATATTAAATGTAAAATTATCACCTGATTTTTGTATAAACAAATCTTAAATTCTGTTTTTTAATTTGTCATCTTTAGAAATCTGTGGTTGTGTAATTTTTACTATTTCCCGACGGGGAATTTTATGCAAAGCGCAATTAAATGCGTGCGTATTTAACTATAACATATGCCTGTTTAAGTATTATTCACTATTCATAGCGCAAAGAGTACAAGCGCTAGCTAAGGTCTTCTTCCTCGGTATTACACTGAAATTTGGTTAAAATCCAGCGTGAAGCAGAGGCAAAAAGGGTGACATATTCACCGCCTTGGCACCATTTCATCTTGTACTGCAGTGATTACTGCTCAACTTCTTCATCACCAAACTTGGAAGGTAGTATCAGATTTTATTAGTGTAAAAAGGGGCTTTACACGTTCAAATCGCACTCGATCTGGTTGTTATGAATGATTAATTTTAATTCGACTCCTTATAATTTATATATTTTCCAGAATTGTTATTTCTTGATGGTGATTTTTCCGACAAAATTTCTCATGAATTTTTGATGCTGCTGTTTATTGCCTTTCCTAAACCGTAAGCCCTAACTCTACGCCTAAACCCGAATTACACTCCGCCCATGATTGGGGTTCGTTTTGTTGCTTACAGATATTCTAATCATAGGTTTGTTTAGTGGACTGTTGGTTAACTTTGGGTTTTTGTTGTATATATGTTTCCTTTTTATGCTATAATTATTTATTTTGTATTTATGGATTTTGCGTGTATTATTTCGATTGTTTCTTGTTTTTATCTTTTTCATTATTCCGTATGTAATGTTTAAATGATTCTGAGTCATAGAATAGAAAACACTAGTTATAGATATTTTTGTTCGTCTTCTACCTATGCAACAAACTATTGATTTTTTATTTTTGTGTTCTGTTTTATGTTATGTATTTTAGTTAAAAGTTATTCTTGACATACCTTTTACGTTAATTAGTATTAATGGGACTTTGGCATAGTTTTTCTTTTTAGTTTCTTTTATTAATTTAATTCACTACTTCAATTAGCTATTTCTGTGTGTGAATATGGGTCTGCGATCAAAGTAATAAATTATCTTTGTGCTTGACATGTTATTTGCAATTAACTACTACCAGTTCTATTGGAATTAAGTAAAAAGCATTAGTTTACTCGTTGTTTGGTCCTAAATAATAAATTTTTGTTTGCGTTTAAAAAAATGTGCAGTGTGTTGTTGAGTCCAATGGTTATGGTTGCTGAGAGTCAAACTGGAAACCCAGTCTGCTCCCCACTTCAGCACTTGCAATTTTCCACTATGGCAGCTGGGGATGATGCACCGAAGAGGAGCATAAAGTTCAAAATCACCTCAAAAGGATTACGGCTTGGATCAGAAAACAAGTCATGTGAGAACACGACGATGATCATGAATAATGAAAGCAGAGATGGAGTTATTGCGAATGGCAAGTCTATTACAGTCAATTTTTCCACGTCAGGCAACTCTAGCAAGCGCAAGCATGGAATGATTCTTGAGTGTCAAAGGGAGAAAAAGGCAAGGATGGATCGTAGTTTCAAGCAGCAATGTAGGAGCATTTTGAGATCACTAATGGAACACCCTCACGGATTTGCTTTCAATCAACCAGTTGATCCTGTGAAGCTGAAGATTCCTGATTATTTTTCAATAGTCACTAAACCAATGGATTTGGGTACAATAAAGCAAAAACTTGAGAGAGATACATACTTCAATGCGGAGGAATTTGCTAGTGACGTCAGGTTGACCTTTTCCAATGCAATGCTGTACAATCCTCCAGGGAACTATGTCCATAACTCTGCGAAGGAGTTGAATGGTGTTTTCAATAGGAGATGGAAATTAATAGAGACGAAATTGAAGTGCACAGGCAGAACTCTTGAACAGTTATGCAATTTAGATGAAATGGAAAAGAATGGCCCCACGCTAGTGAAAATTGTTCATAAAGGTTTGAAATGTTGCAGAATAAGTTTGTGCTTTCTGGTTTGTCCTTTACATGACCTGATTGGCCATGTATCTCGTACACAGATGATGGCAATCTAAGTGCCTGTGCTGCTGCCAATAGAAAACAACCACTTGATTCCCCTGCAGTCAAATGTGCTACATGTGGTGGTCTGACGTGCCAATGCAGCCTTAGAAGATGTTCTATCAAGCCATCTTCTAGTGGTGAGTTAAATTCTTATTTCTGCTGTTTGTCTGCTCCAAGTGTGTTCCTGTCAACTAATTTATGGTGCATTTCATCTTGTTTCAAAATTTGCTTCAGAAAGATCATCTGATCGTGATCACTATGCTGATTCTAAATCTGTAAGTTTAGCTGCTTCTCGTTGCACCAAATATTTTTATTTAATATGTGGTTAGACTTTTGGTTGATAATCACCTTGTCCTTTTACATCAGGATTATGCAATTAAATATCCCATGATGTCTCATACAAGAGAATTAAAGCTGTATTCAGATGGTGAGAGCAATAGCAGTGACATATATGTTTACAATTTTTTGGCTCGTTTTCTGATTATTTGAGCTTTGACATGCCATTGACTTTGATTTGTAGGGCACAAGAGTGTTTCCAATGAAGACAATCTTCAGCAAAGTGTCTCTTCGCCACCCACAACTGCTGCCATTGATGAAGGTAGCTATCATCTAGATGTGAGAATGCATTATTAGTTTCTTTTTGGAAGACCACAGCTCAGCATCCATTTTTATTTTTGGATTAATCTTACTCCCATTGGCACACACAGAAACATGCACATATTGGCTCCAGATGTAAGAAAATGATGTCAATTTTTGTCATCAAATTCAAAGATCCAAACTATTGTTGAAGTGTTAATCATTCCTTGGAAATATGGAGATTTGATTTACTTTTTATCTTTGCTTTAGGATGGACTTCACTTGGTAATATGTCGCCAAACAAAGCTTTGCGTGCTGCCATGCTAAAAAGCCGCTTTGCAGATACTATCTTTAGAGCTAAACATCAATCTCTCCTGGATCACGTAATGGATTCTTATTGCTTGTAGAATTGTTGGCATACACACTAGTTGGTTGTGGACTAAAATATCTGTTTCTGTTGATTTCTGATCAGGACAAGAAGATTAATCCTGTGAATCAGGAGAAAGAAAGGGAGAGACTTGAAAGGCTGCAGCATGCAGGTGATCTAAGCATGTGCTTGATGCAATGTTATGGTGTACAGTCATTTTTTTGTTAAAATGTAGCCTTCCTGTGAAACTTTTAGTGGATGATTTTTTTGGGCTAAACCCCTTGGACAACCCCCTGGACAACCAGGGGGTTGTCACTGAAGAACAACCCGATTTTTTTTTGTCTTTTTATGATACTATTATTTTGTGTCGAACTTCTTTTTCTTGATGATTGATAGATGTGATGAAAAGCATGTGACAGAACATATAATTTTAAATATATAGACTTGTGTGAACTGTCAGGCTACTCTGTAGTGTAAATGAAATTGAAGATGATTCAATAATTTTCACTTAGATATCTGTCATTCTGTTCTTTTATGATATGAGCATTGCATTAGTATTTCCCTTGCTTAGGGAATATTTTGTTTACACTGGATGTTTGACCGTCTGCAGATAAGGCTAGGATTGCAGCAGAATTTAAAGCTGCTGAAGCAGCCTCACGAATGAGGGCAGAGGCGGAGTTGAAGATGCAGCGTGAGAGAGAAAGAGAAGCTGCCAGAATTGCAGTAGAAAAGGTCTCTCTTTTTCTTCCTTTTTAATTCTTGTTCTTTTGTGGTTTCTGTTATTATTTGCCTCGTGGATACGAAAGAAATTTAATTTTATGGTGTCTCACTCTATGTAGATGGTAAAAACTGTTGACATTGAAGAAAATCGAGACATTATGGAGGACCTTGAAGC